TGTATTTGTTTTGTTAAAATATAAACAAACCAAATTTAATGATCTTAAGAATGAAATTTGTTAAAGTAAGATGAATAATTTGTCCATGTCCATTTTTATGCATTTGTTTTTTTAAAATATAAACAAACCATATTTAAAGATCTTAAGAATGAAATTTGTTAAAGTTGTTGAATAAATTGTTTCTGATTAAAATGAGAAAATTATTAAAATGAGAAAATTACGTATTTAATTCACATGTGAACATTTCTGAACATTTTCGAGTAATTTTGTTGAAAACCAATTCCAGTTCTCTAAGTATTTTGAAAATAATAACAATATTCCTTTAATTAAAGATTTTTACGTTAAAAGATATATCTTTTTTTAAAAATCTTGTACATATAACAATACTACCCAGCAAAAAAAGACGTGCAAAAAAAGTAGTAAATGCATGGGTTGAACTGATAATGAACTGGTTCATATTTAGGGGAAACATGCATGATTTTAACATTAGCGTGTCATTGGCATGCATGGGTTCGTATTTGCAAAAATAGTTCGTCATTTAAATGAGTTCTTATAACCAATGAATATTCGATGATTCTCAAGCGAATTTTCATTGGTGCACTATATTTATTTAAAAATGCATTAATGGTATTTCGATTTAATTATCAATATTTAAATAATTTTTTTGAGTGATATTGACAAAAATAGAATAAGATAAAACATAACTAACTGATTTTGATTGGATTTAAATTCATGCAGAGGAAAAATACCCATTGTGTTTTAAAATCCGTTAAGCAGTCTTGGTTTTTTCCTTCTCTTATTAATGGACTTAATATTACTAATTTTAACAAAAATCTAAAAAAAAATTAATGTCATTTTTAATCTTTATTGTATGAAATGCACGTTTTCGTTAAATCTCCTAAGAGAATACCAAATTACAGTAAAATATTACAATTCCTATAGCGGAGTTACATGAGTGAATTTGGGTGCATTTTTCATGCCTTCACTGATGACAAATTTATTAGAATTTAGGCATGTATTTAAAACGCATTAAATAGAATACTTACTAAAGAAATCATGAAAAAATCCCTTCTTCTTTAACAACTTCAAAATTTTTTTGCTGGGTAAAGTTTCGAATGGGGACATTGTATAGGTAATAGGGTAATAGGGTAGAAAGCTTTTGGTTTCTATAAAACTTTTTTGTGTCGAATTTCATGAATATACATCATACATACTTACATTTTTATGCCAGTTATAAGCAAGAATACATTTTTTTAATGTTTATCTTCTATGGACGGTAGGGTAATTTCATCACTATACAAGTATTTTTAAGACTGTTATGAGTGTTAAAGAAGTTTTCTGTGGTGGATCTCATATGGAGCCAGTTATAAGCAAGAATGTATTTTTTTAATGTTTATCTTCTATGGACGATAGGGTAATTTCATCACTATACAAGTATTTTTAAGACTGTTATGAGTGTTAAAGAAGTTTTCTGTGGTGGATCTCATATGGAGCTAGGATCAAATTTTGATAATTTCCGATAATTTTTGTTTTTGTATTTCTTAATCGTTCCGATAGAATCTCACAAAATTTCAGAGTCCTACGTGACTTCTGTGATTTATTGCCTCAAAAACTGGTCATTCCGCCTATAGTACTATCGATAGTATTCGTTGCTTTTGGGAGTATTAATTACATTTGGTAAAAACATGTAATGCAGGAATCATTTTTTGTTACACTGCGTTTTGTGAATAATGTCATACATTGATTTGCTGAATTATTTTATATTGGAAACACGAGGCTCGCTTTTTGCGATTGTATACAAAATGAAAAATTAACCAATTAAACGGTTCTCTGATACATCCCAGCAAAAAATAATTGATGTCATACTTTACAAACTACATCTTAATCACATCTTAAAATGCGATTACATATTTTTCACTTTTATAAACCAAATATTTCCTTACAAATGAAACCCCAGTTAAAAGTGAGGAAAGAGATGTGGAAAAGTCATTACAAATAACATATTTGAAGTACATCAAGATTTGGTGAAAGAGTAGTGAAATTTACATAAGCGTGTCATTAAGAGAATGTGTTTTATTTTTGGCATCCAAATATCGGATTTTTACTGCTTCTAAAAATAAGATCAGATGTAGTTCAAAGCTGCCAAAAATGAACAACATCCCTCCAATGACACGCTAATGTAAAATTCATAGGTTTTACATCCGAATTTGAAGCACTTCGGGTTACTAGTTGTGATGAAAATTCTACATCTTTTTCCACACTTTTTTTGCTGGGATGCATATGAGTATTTCTAAATTTTTTGTTATCGCTACATTCGTTTCAACAATTATTTTATAATTTATGTATATCGTCACCTGAAATGCAAAAGGGCGTAACAACACTTTAAAAATGTTTACAGGAGAGCCAAAAAACTAAATAAAATGAAAGCTATTTTTGTTATAAAAACGACATTTTCTTACAAGTACTCAGCAAAAAAAGTCTGGAAAAAGATGTAGAATTTTCATCACAACTAGTAACCCGAAGTGCTTCAAATTCAGGTGAAAAACCTATGAATTTTACATTAGCGTGTCATTGGAGGGATGTTATTCATTTTTGACAACTTTGAACTACATCTAATCTTATCTTTAGAAGCTGTAAAAATCCGATATTTGTATGTCAAAAATAAACCACATTCTTTCAATGAAACGCTTATGTACATTTCATTGGTTTTTCATCAAAATTTGAAGTACTTCGAATATGTTGTTTGTAGTGACTTTTCTACATCTCTTTTCTCATTTTTAACTGTGTTTTAATTTGTAAGTATATGTTTGGTTTATAAACGCGAAAAGTATGCAATCGCATTTTTAGATGTGATTAAGATGTCGTTTGTAAAGTATGACATCAATTATTTTTTGCTGGGTATTGTATCCCAACATCGATAAACACGTTTGAATATAACTGTACCTCCAGACATTGTCTGTTATGTTGCTTTTTAGAACTTTCTTGTAGAAAAAATAATTTGTTACGCCCTTTTGAATTCCTCTACAATAAAGTTGGTATTTTATTTATTTATTCAAGTAATACAAAGCCTTCATATTACCTAGCAATAAAAACCTAAGCTTAAAGAAACTTAAATTTTTGACAATAGGATTCTAAAAACAACAACATGTATTTTGATGCGGACCGTTTTCAATCAAAAAGACGATTTTAAATTTTTTGGTTGTAACGCCTTTTTGCATTTCAGGTTACGATATCACACTTCAATTTATATTATTCTGTCACAATTTATACTATTTAAAGTATTGTTATGGAGTAGAATGTAAGCCGTATTTGGCCCTAAGGGCTTGGTTTTGAATTTTTAAAAATTAAATAAATAAATAAATAAAATTGTCGAAAGTTATAAAAACTCAAAATAAAACCAATTTTTATTTTTGGTAATAAGCTTTACTTGTAGCTCTTAATTGGTGCTAAGTTTAAAATAGAATTACCTTTTACATTTACAGCTGTGATCAACTAATTGGAAATGTTCTATTTATATTTAAGCTTGACGTAATTTATATGAAATTGTGAAAATATTACGTTAGATTTTCCATTCCAAACTCTTGTATTATATTGCTGTTGTTGTAATAAAATGGAAAGCATTTTGTTGTGAAACATTTCTTATCTCTTTTAAATTTGGCAAAAATCGCCCAAAGTTAAATCAAAGAAATTGCGGAATTGGAAACGACCATTTTTTATTAAAAATGTTTTAAGTCTTATTTTGGTAAAAAAAAATGATTGTGGTAAATATTATTTTTATTTAATGTCTAATTTAACATTATTATCATCCAGGCTATATATGAACTTCATAAAGCTTGTAAATCGGAAAAGCATACAGAACAGCTTAATTGTTCCAAAAATATTTTTAATCATTTATAGCATATTACGAAATATGACACGGAGAAACCTTTTTCAAATAAAATTCAAAGAATTTGTAATGTCTCTTGCAAATGCAACATCGTGTTAAAGATAACTTATGTTATCAGAACTTCAGATCTTATCATAATTAGATGGAATTATTTACATTGGAGCTTTGAAATGGAGATAATTGGCCTTAAACCTTAATATACAAAGTATAATAAATGGTAAAAGGTGTGGTAGAAGTTAGAATGAGATATGGCCAATTCTTTCAACTTTAGTTGGAAAAAGTTTTTTATGCAATTCTCTCCCATGATGCCCCGATTCCACCAAACATCGCGAAATATTTGTCTTAGATAGCGTTATATACAATTTATCTCAAATTTACCGTTGGATGTCCGTGGATGATTCCTTTAGGTCAGTTTTATAGATTCGTCTTATCATCCGGTTGAAGTGGGTTGATGTTTTTCTGGGAATTTTTTGAGACGGAACGTTAGTATCAGTGTCATATTTTTTACATGTCCTATAAAGGATTAAAAATATATTTTTTTGTAATTTAAAGTAGTTTTTTGAAATCAATTTTATAAGAACAACATATCGTCACCTGAAACGCAAACGGCCCTAACTAACCAAAAATTAAAAATCGATTTTATTGTTGATTATAATGTATTGCCTCAAAACATATGTCCTCACAAAAAATTGGGCTCCTCCGACCAAAATTAGCGATTTCATTGACAAAAAAACAAAAGGCCCTATCTACAAAAACATTTAAATATTAAAGGTAAAAAGTCCAATTTATCCATATTTATATACGCCATTGTCAACTATCATAACTAATAGGTTTCACTATTAAACAATTTGTTTATTCACTACAAATAAATCGCGTTGATAGAAACAAACTTTTCAATTTCAATAGTTTTTTGCTTCTCCTGTAAAATTTTAAAAATGTTAGATAGGGCCGTTTGCGTTTTAGGTGACGATATACTTTTTTGTAAAGCTGTATACATATGTATGTATTCCTTAAAAGTACTGTAAATGGAGGGAAAGTTAGGGAAACGTATTGATACAATTGTACATTCTTTTTCTAAACTAACAATGTACATATGTATTAGACAAGCTTCATATGCATATAAAAATACATTGCGCTTTATTTATCGCACAAAATTTAAAAAATACATGTAAATTATACTTAAAATACTATATTTAAAAACTATTAAACTATGTAGATTTGTGCATACATTCATGTATAAATATATTTTTTACTATGAGTTTATTTTCATTTTGGAATATCATACATTCTCAGCAGGTTTTTGCATTACCGATCATAAATTTCATTTATTACATGATTTTGCTCATTGCTCATTGACAAAATTCTCTAAGAAAAAGGTTTGATTGAATTTAAAATAAGGCTTTGAACGCACAGAAATGCTATGAGCCATTAAAATATATATACGTACGTACATATATACATATGTATATGTAAAAAATGTATACTTGGAGAATAAAGTATACAGGCCAATTATGAACAATATTTTCCTGGGATTTTATTTTTTTTTGCATGCTTTATGTATTGGAGAGGGAACAAATTCCCCGGGAGTTTGTTATTCAGAATAGGCCTGATAATTGATTGTAAAATTTTCTAAAAAATGTATGACATTACAAAATCAAAATTCTATTATACACGTGATATTGTGTCTGTATTGTCGATCATATCACAAGTAGCCATAAAAGTTTAAGCGCTAGAGGCAGTGTATGAAAGGTCCTCATTAGGAGGATGCTTGTGATGACGCTTGTTACGCATTACATAAGGATGGGCAGGGCTGTTTTCATAACTGGATAAAAATGGTAGACTCAAGAGTTTTTCAGGATATTTTTGGAGCAAATATACCCAGCATGGAACGGTGCTAAAATAAAAAATTATATTAATAATAAATTATGTTAATATCATATTTAAAAAATATTTATATGCAAATGTGTATGTATATTTACCCTTCTCCAACTCCTATATTCATATCACGCATTTCTCTTACATAAATATCTTCACAATCTTCCAAGTTGTCCAAACTTTTAAGCATCTTGTCGTCCACTTCATAAATTTCGCCAGTAACGTAATAGCCCAGACCAGGCTTGTTCAGCAAGAAAGGAATATTGTAGCGAGTTGCTATCACTAATGGTAATTTTTCGGTGGTAGTTGCACGACACCAAAACTTGGCAAAACCGTTTCCATCATTGGCCAAAATGGAATGGCTAGGTTGGCCATACTTTAGACCTCCATAAACAAACAGTTTATGCAAGGCAGAAGTTGCTTTCTGAAAATTATTAAAAAAATCAGATTTTTGATTGAAAATGGTCCACTACATCGAAATACATGATGTTGAAAATTTTTAGAACTTTATTGTAAAAACATTAATTTCAAAAGGGCATAACAACAAATTAGTTTTTTCCACAAGTCAGAATGTCCTAAAAAGCAACACAATAGATAATTCCATATACTCAAACATGTTTATTGATGTTAGCATATAATTTTTGGAAAAAATCTCTTTTTTTATTTTTAAAAACGAAACCTAAAGGGCCAAGTGACTACACAAACGGCTTGATTAGATATTAATACCTAATATTTTCTATAAATTTGTAATTCCAACTTTTGAAATTGTATGTCCTTCAAACTTTAAAGTTTTTTACAGGGGCATAAGAGCTGATTATGAAAAACTGAGTACACATAGTTAATACTACAGGTTCACAGTTTCCTATACACATAGATTTTTTCATGTGTGAAAATTACTGTTGTACGGTCTTATACGGAAAATTCAAGAATTCCATTTAAAGATTTCTCCATAATTATACCCTACACCACTTTAGTGGGGAGGGTATATTGGATTTGTGCTGATGTTTGTAGCGCACAATAATATTGGTCCTATACCCACCTTAAAGTATACCAATCGGCTTAGAATCATTTTCTGAGTCGATTTAGCTATGTACGTCCGTCTGTCCGTCCGTCCGTCCATGTAAACCTTGTAATCAAACTACAGGTCGCAATTTTGAAGATAATTCAATGAAATTTGGCACATGATCTTCTATTGGCCCAGGGACGAAGACTATTGAAAATGGTTAATATCGGTCCATTATTTCACCTAGCCCCCATACAACTGAGCCCCCGAATAGGGCTTGTAAACCTTGTAATCAAACTACAGGTCGCAATTTTGAAGATAATTCAATGAAATTTGGCACATGATCTTCTATGGTACCGGAGACAAAGCCTATTGAAAATGGTTAACATCGGTCCATTTTCTCATCTAGCCCCCATACAACTGAACCCCCGAATAGGGCTTGTAAACTTTTAATCAAACTACAGGTTGCAATTTTGAAGATAATTCAATGAAATTTGGCACATGATCTTCTATTGTCCCAGAGACGAAGCCTATTGAAAATGGTTAACATCGGTCCATTTTCTCATCTAGCCCCCATACAACTGAGCCCTCGAATAGGGCATGTAAACCTTTTAATCAAACTACAGGTCGCATTTTTGAAGATAATTCAATGAAATTTGGCAGATGATCTTCTATGGTACCGGAGACGAAGCTTATTGAAAATGGTTAACATCGGTCCATTATTTCACCTAGACCTCATACAACTGAAAACGAATCTCGACAAAAAGCTGCAAAACCAAGTGCTACCAATTCAAAAATAAAAATACAAATATTAATGTGTTTATGTCAAACAATAAAAAAATATTTTAAAATAAAATTTAAATCAAAGAAAATTACCAAATAAAAAAACCTTTTCAAGAAATTGTAAATAATTTCAAGATTTAGCAGATTTCTTCTGTGGAGTGATGCCAAGTCAGGTAATGTTCGTTTTGTTGCTAACTTTAAGCGTTAACACTCATTGATAGCAACAAAACACAACTTTAATAGAAAATACAATTGCTGGAAATTACTTATTTTATGATTTATAGTTTTATCAAAGAAACCTTTAGAATTAATTACTCAAAATCGTAATCAGAATTTTTGTCAAGATTTTATTTTCCATACAATTATATAAAACAAAAGAAAATGTATCACAAATTGAATGTTAATTTCAAAACACTTATACCTACATACATATATTGACGTTGGTCTTAATATGTCGATATTAATATGAAAATTACGTTGATTTTTGAAATAGGGGCTTTAATGGGGGTGGATCAGTTATAGACAGACAGAAAGAGTGATTAATAAATTTTAGGTCCATTAATGGACTTATACTCATGAAATTCGATAAAAACTTCTTTATATCCAATTTCATTGTAATATAAGGAGCCTTTTATTGCGACTATTTATGATAGCTTAAACTGTATTTCGGGAGGCCACTTGTATGGAGGCTACGTGGAATTGTGCAGTATAGCGAAATTGATGTGGACCAACACCAAAAAGGTGTGGTTATATAAATTTTATTCTGAATGGAAAAAATCAATCGAATCGAAAAAACAAATCAAATACAAATACATCGTCCAAAATCAATTACAGCTGGAGGGTTAACATGAGTACAATTACTATTACTGGTTTTACCTTCCATTGAAATTATTTTACGTCTTAGTAATTATGTATGTAGGTATATTTAAATTTGAAAACTAAGGCCCGTAATATCAATCCCCGATAAACCGGTAGATATTCTGCCGGTTAAAATAATTTTTGCTTGAAAACTGTCAATATACGATATACAATAAAAAATAACAAGACATTAAGGCCATTGTTACAACTTGTCTTTAATGTTCGTAATAATAAAAGGTAACTTTATTTAATTAAAGTAAGGAATAAGGTTAACTATTAATATTTTCATTATTATAACATAAATTTTTAGTATACAAAAAACGTAGCATACTTTTAGCCCTTAGTAATCTTTTTCATATGAAAAATGAAATTGAATTTGTTTTTTTCATATTTTTTCTAAAGCTTAGAAAATTGGTATAAGAGTATAAAACGATTTTCTATTTTTTTTTTTTTTTTGATAAAAAAAACCGACAGTAGTAAAAAGAAAAATCCCAATTTTCCACCGGTTGATTACCCTATAAGTGCCGATTTAAGACATTTGTTTTTCACCCATTTAGTGGTTTGTGATATTTATCTTTCAAAAATATGTATGTATGCATACATTCATATACACAAACTGTCAAACACAAAAATCCACCCGTTTATCAGAATACTCATTGTTGTGAGACCGGTATATGTATATTTTAAAAATAAATAAGTGTTGTAGTATTTTAGAGCAAGAAGTTTCACTAAGTTTGTGTTTGCTTTCAGTTGTTGTTGTTACCATTTCTGTTATTTATAACTGATAAACTGCGCAACAAATTTGGAAATAAAATTATATACACATGTATATCGATACATACATACATATGTATCTAGATTAGGGTAGCCCGGTTTGTATGAAGGAAAAATAAGTTATCAATGTTCCCAACTGGGAATGGCGTCAATATTTGGTAAGATAATCAAAGAATAAAAAATACATTTTTCAAGGTTTTCATATTTTTTCATATATTTTCCAAAGGAATGATATGAAATTTTGGTATCATAAGAAAGGCCCTTGGTGGTCGCATTTTAAGACATAAATTTTATATGATTCGTTTAAATTAATACATTTATAAATTAAAATTTACCGAACTGGGATTTTCAAAATTATGTTATGGGTAGACATCATAGAATGTTTCAAACAGATCGGATTTGAAAAATAAAATTTGATATATAAAGTCGATATAAAGAGGTTTTTCATCTAAACTTAAACTAAATTTTTACTAATCAAATATACACGTGTGAAAACTTAAGTTTTACGTTTAGACTTTTTCAAATTATACAGAACTATGTGAATGTCATTAATATGACACATTTTTGTTAGTACTCAGTTCAAAAAACCTGAATTTTGTATTATACCAGTCCTGTAGTAATGAAGAACCTCAAAAAGCACCTTTTTAGCCTTTGATTTAGTTCACCAAATATTGAAGTTAGGACAATAATTTTTAGAAATGGTATCTTAGAATGAGCCAAGTTTTTTTTTTCGCTGGAACATCAGCAACTTTCATTCTGGGGCCACCGTAATGCATATAAATATGTATGTGGATATGTATGTTTATTAATTATGTACGGTATATCACAATAGTATGTTGCATATGCCATTTGTGCAAAAAATTCTTGAAAATATATGTATGTAGTTTAATAACTCATAATATCATTTCCTTTTAAGTTAATACAGGTGGAGTATACAAAAATTAATGAAAAGTATAGAAATTACAAAAATGTATTTTTGTTTTCTGTAAAATCTACATCAAAGATGTCTGCTTGTTTGCTGAATATTTTGCTATCAAAAACCTAAAAAATTATTAAATTTTTATTCAGATCCTAAAATATATATTCAAAGTTAAGTGAGAAGACATACTTTTTTTCTATACTGTATGAGTATTGAAATAATAAAACCTGTTAATTTTTTGACTTTATAATAAATATTTGTGTTACATATAATTTCCATATATTGCAAAAAAAAAACTATGTTCTAGAACTTGCAATATTTAAACGTTTTATAAACACACATAAAGTTAATTTAAATGTCTATATATGGGCATTTCCACCGAAAAGTAAATTTTTTGTCACATCACGTCACGCACATTAATTGACAATATCTTAAGACCATTCCTTTTGATTGGCTCTTACTTTATCCTATGTATAAACTATTAGAGCTCTACATAAAAATATAAATAATTTAAATATAGGTATATAAATATTTTCCCTAGATATAGTCAGTTAATGGTGCGTGCGTGATGTGACAAAAGTAGACTTTTCGGTGGAAATGCCCATATGCATGTACAATGTATGTATGTAGTATGTGTGTATATTGTGTATTGATTTGAGTAGTAAAATGGAAAAATATTTTTATCTGCATAATATTTGTGTTATAACATTTGTTTTCTTAAGTTATTTTTTATTATTTTAAAACCAAAATATAATAAGACAAGCAAAGCTTAACTCAAATATTTGACGAAATGACGTGACCAATATAAAACTGATACATATCGCTCACTTACTCCAAGATACCAAATTTCAAATCTAAAACAGATAAATCTATAGATTAATATGTAAAAAACTCAGCTTAACACCAAAAATAAGATGAGTTAATCGACTCAAAAAATTATTTTAAGCCAACTAAAGTGGTGTAGGGTGTAAATATACAATACGAACGTCCTATAATAAGCAAAATTCTTGTTTGCCAAAAAAGCTATAATGAAATTGCGTAATAACATATTGTTAAAAGTTTTTTAACAAATATTTGTTTAACTCACAACTATGTATGTATCGTCACCTGAAATGCAAAAGGGCGTAATAACACTTTTCAAAATTTTACAGGAGAGACAAAAAACTAAATAAAATTAAAACTATTGTTGTTATAAAAATGTATCTTTCTTCCATGTATTATATCATATCATCAAACTCGTTTTTCTTCTTTTTTTGTGTAGATATTTTTATTTTCATCACTTGTACATGCAAAAAGTTACCAAACTATGCAACACTTTGAAGAAATCAATAAAAGTAAAATTCTTTAAGTACATACTTGTAAAAAGTATAGGAACAGAAAAAATGTATTAATTTTCACAAATTTATTTTTAATGAATTTTACACCGATACAGTATAAAATTTTCATAAACTAAATATGGGGTTTACCAATGTTTGGAGTTAAAATATTTAGATTTTATGGGCCGCTTTTACAATTCATCCTAAGAAACTTAAGTTTTGAAAAAAAAGGAAAAATTGAAAATTCTATATTATTCTTGGTAGAGAATTTAATTTTAGTTTAGTTTAGTTTATTCATTCTTATACAGAATCCTAGCCAAAGGCCATAATCGGATCCAATAACACTACTTAATTAGACAACATTCAATTTTAATAAAATAACAATAATAATAAAAGTAAATAAATAAAGAATATAAATTAAAGTTAAAAAAATGTAAAAAAAAATAATTATAATAATAATATAGGACATTTTAGCATATAATGAGATGAGCTGAATGAAGTATATGTAAATTTTATATTTAATGGTGTATATAAATAAAATCTAACAAGCAGTCTTTTTTAAAGCAAAAAAAAAAATACTAAATTTAAAGTTAATACAAATAGAAATCAACAAGCATATGGACAAGGTATCATAATTTTAAAAGATAGAACCAGTTTTCTAGTTTTTAATAAATTTGTACTAAAGATTATTTAAAGAAAATCTACAACCACGCATACTTATTTATTAAAATAAAAACTAAATCTAAAATTTGTTTGATTTTAATGTTTCTTTCAAACAAATATGTAATTTATTTGACAGAAAATATTTAAGTTTTACCCCCATTTTCTCAACGTCTGATTATGTTTTATCCTAACGATAAATTAACAGTTTATATACAAAAATTATTTTAACCGGCAGTATATCTACCTGTTAAACGATAACCGGAGGTTGAGATATTGTCTTTTACAATTTTTTAGTGTACAGGAAAAATTTCATGTAAATTCTTATTAAAACCTGAAACCAGCTATTGTTATATAACAACAAATCATTTACAAACTGATAATAGGTATTTATATTGTATATATATAAAATTAAACGAAACCATATTCATTTTCTTTTTACTTTAGTTTTTTTTACCTGTATATAGATATCGTACTAATGGGACTAATTTGTGGATTGCATTATTCCAAATAATTTAATTTAAATAAAGTGTGTGTATACGTACATATGTATTTACTTACACGTATGTACATATGTATATACAACGTCACACGTTTTATGTGGTCTTACGTCTCAGAATAGGTTTAATATTATACAAGTTATTGTTTTATTTTTTATTAAACGCAATGTAATTGTAACGTAATTATTATCTTCAGACACATATTAAAAATATAAATTCTAAATTATGGGACCTTTAACAAGTGGATTATGCAACTTTAAAACATGGAAAATCTGATAAAAAAATTATATTCTTTTACAAAGTAAATTCGTATTGACAGAAATAGCAAACTGTTTGCAGTCTACGTTTTATAAAACAGTTTAGTATTTTGCTCGTGTACCTCAGGCAATCAATTTTCATACTTATAACTCCGACTTAGGTTTTATTTAAATTTTTTTATTTGTTTAATTGCCTATTGAAAAAGGTCCCGTGAAATAGCCGTTTAGCTTTTATTTTAACTAAATAACGCATTACATTCATTTGTGTTATGCAGAACTCACCCTTAGGTTACACATTTCACGCAGCCTTTAAAGAAAAATAAATGTACTTATAAAATGTTCAACTTCTTTTAAACTTGTTTAATATTTAACGCTTTTGATACACTTCGATAAAGACCGAACACACTCTTGGAGAGTAAAATCTCAACTGAATTCAAATTCTGCTGTGTGGGGTGTGAATAGCTCTTTGTGTACATACAGCTTGATTACAATTAGGACGACAAACGTCATGTCGCGAAAGTGTTGGAAAATCCAACATTAACCTAAAAGAATGTAATAAAAACAATATTTTTATATTAATTATAACTTTTAAAAATAAATGCATAAAACCCGATTTAATAAATATGTGATATGCCATGAAAATATGTTGATTATAAAATTATATATAATTTTATTATTTAAAAATTATGGATTCCTTAGTGTAAGAAATGAAAACAAAAAAGATACAACTGCAGAATTCGCAGATTTTCGTATATATGTACATATTTATATGTACTTTAATAATAAATTTCACAAGAAATATTTAAATTTAAAGAGCGAAAAAATACAATTCACTCACGAAACGAGCACAATTGAATTTAGTGTTTATAAAAAACAGACTTTTGGAAAACCCGGTTCTTCGGTTAGCCGAAAATTGATCATTTGTAGAAAAACGGTTTATCGGTTAACCGAGTATAAAAAACCGGTTAAGTCAGTTAACCGAAATGTTTCGAAATCTTCAAAATAGATATGTACATCAATATATCATAAGAAAACATACAATTTTGTACTAATAATTAACATTTTTTGAAACCGGCTAACCGAGACTGGTTAACCCGGGTAACCGGTTTATAAACTCTAAAATTTATGACCGGTTAACCGATAGGTTAAATAAAAAACCGGTTAACCGAGACTCCAAAACCGGTAAACCGAAGCCGGTTTATAAACTCTGAATTTAATGAAAAATGCATTTTTATCGCACAAGCATGCGCACACACACACTGACATCCTTTTTTGTAAAATTTTTGTTTTTTACGACCTCACGCTTGCACACACATGCACATTTTTTCATAAATTTTCACCACCATAAAACCGGCTATGGCGCACACATTTTTTGTATGTGAGTTTTATTCAAACTCTATTCATTTTGATATCTCTTGTGAGAGAAATAAAAAAAAAACAAAATGCATAGATATTGCTCATGAAGTGAACATAAAAAATTAAAAATTCAAATAAAAATAGTTCTCATGAGTTTAAAAATAAATCTCGTGAAAGTGATTTGTATAACGAGAGAAATAAATAAAATAGCATTCACGAGTGAACAAAATACCTACTTTACAAACACTTTAGTTTTTTGTCACCTATGATACCGTGTAATTTTAATAGATATTTTCGAAAACAAGGTTCCGAATGGAGCAACAGAAGTTCAAAAATTATCAGTTTTTCTGTGTTCCGGGAATTCAAGTTATATAAAAGCGGATGTTATTTCTTTCGAATAAAACCGGTTAAATGCCATTTAAAAATGCCATTTTTCCGATAATCCCGAAAACCGGGTTTTTAGTGGAAACTCTATGTTATTATATGTTAAAAAAAACAAAATTATATTTCATTTTAAAATTTTGGCATTTTTTTGTTCGTGGGGAGCTTTCATAGCTTGGACAAAAAAAAATAAATACATTTTAATTATATTTGTATTTTTAAGTTTTTAATCGGATTTTTTGAAAAGGTTTGTGATTTTTATTGAATTCCCTTTTAGTTATTATAAATGGGAAAATATTTAATAGATGAGTTGAGGCAAACTTTGTACTACCGAAAAGAGGAGAACAATGTTGACGCTAAGTGATAAGGAAAAAGTTTTCGTTTTATTACCGGAACCTTGGATCGTTCCTTATCTTTTGTACAAAATGCGCTTAAGAGACAACCATCAGCTGAACACCGTGGAAAACCAAAGAAAACATCTCCAACAACGGATAATCGTATAATTCCTACGGATAATCGTATAATTCATCTCTTCATGAGCCATTTCTGGTAGAATGGCCAGAATTCATTTGCTTCGGCAAAAAAAAAAAAAAATAAAGAAACGGCTAATTTTCGCCAGAATTCACTCAAATTGGTAACGACCAAAAGGTGAAAAATATGGCGTAATATCGTATGGGCCGACGACACTAAAATTTATTTGTTAGGAAATGGCTTGGCTAGGAATGTACAATGCCCCAAAGGTAAAAAAGCTGTTTTTAGTGGAACGGTATTGGTCCTATTCATCGGATTTCCGACACCATGACAGGATTTCAATACATGGACATCCTAGAAAATATTATGTTGCAATCTGCTGAAAAAATATGCTTCTCAGGTGGGTTTTCCACCAGGATAATGATCCTAAGCACACCTCAAAGTTGTGTCAGGATTGGTTTAAGGATAACGAAGTTTTCTAACTGGACTGGTCAAGTCAGTCACCTGACCTCAACCCAATAGAAAACCTTTAGGAAGAGTTAAAAAGAAGAGCAGCTAATGCAAGTTTTCAAAATAATAACCAATTACGGGATTTTATCCAGAAAATGTGGTACGAAATACCAGTGGAAACCTACGTAAACTGATCACCAGTATGCCAAAAAGGGTGGACAAAGTTATTTAAATTAATAGTAGTTACACTGCATACTAGCAAACAAAAGTTATAATGAACAAAAAAATTTTAAATATTGAATTAGATTTACTTTTCTGGTACCTTTGCTGAATGTCCATACTTATTTTTTTGTCCACCCTTTTAAAACATTTTTAAGAAGACTGAAGACTGTGGCCTCCGGTAGGTTAGTGGTTAGTGTTCTAGTCTGGTAGACCGGAGGTGGTGGGTTCGATTCCCACCTGAGGCACTGGTTAAGGAGCGCACAACAGGCCCGATAGAGGCCTAAGTGTATTTCTTCGGATTTGATGTATATTCATCCTCCTTTCAAACTAACTAACTAACTAAGAAGACTGAAAGCTGTTTAGGATTTTAATTTATTTTTCTTTCGTATTTTTATTTTAAATCTTCTAAAACAATTAATTAGGTTCACTTTTTAATTTATCTTCAACAAATATTTTATTATAAGCTGTTAAACCGAACTGGTGTATTTATTTTTTTGTCCAGATGTGTATGTTAATAATTCAGACATCTTAACTAAATAATGTATTTTTCAAATTGTTTTCAAATTAAAAAGTATAAATTATATAGTAAAATAATAAACACGATAATTTAAAAAAACGTTTAATAAAAAATATTGTGAAATTTATAAAATTTTCAAAGCATTGATTTTATTAAACTTAGAAAATTTTCTTTAAAAAAAATAAATTATTTTACCAAAAATTTTGGTCCAAAATATAATCAGAAAATATTTCTGTAGCAAGGAAACGAAAAAAGTAAAAAAGTATAAATTATATAGTAAAATAATAAACACGATAATTTAAAAAAACGTTTAATAAAAAATATTGTGAAATTTATAAAATTTTCAAAGCATTGATTTTATTAAACTTAGAAAATTTTCTTTCTAAAAATAAATTATTTTACCAAAAATTTTGGTCCAAAATATAATCAGAAAATATTTCTGTAGCAAGGAAACGAAAAACGTTAAATATATAAGAAATAATCGGAGGTATGAATTAAAAATACGCAAATACGAATTATGAGTTGTAAGCATTATTAATTAGAGCTTGTGAAAATATAAGAAAAAAAATAAAAAAAAAAACGCGAAGTTCTTTATAAATAAAGCAAAAAATTTACGCTTAAGAAGCGTAGCATGTAACTTGATGCGTAGGATGCAAAGAAGGTATGAAAATGACGAAATGCTTTGCCGCCGTAGTTTTTTTGTGCATTTTTACACCGTTAAATATTTTTTAATTTTTTGGCAATTAAATTTTGATTATTTTAACACGGTGATGTCATTGGAGGCAAGTATTTCCACGCTCGCTTACAAATAGGGAATTAAAGAAGTACTTGCAATTTATCTTACAAAGAAGTTTTTTAGCAAGTTGTTTTATTTTTTAATAATAAAAAGAGCCAATAATACAAAAAAGAGCGAATAATACAAATATTTGCAAAGAACTGACCTATTATGTTTACCGCAAGCGTGGAACCGATCCGTAGGCATATAACAATTATACACAAAATATTTTTCTTTTAGATTTCATAGACTAACTTTGATTATTGCTCAAAAAATTGTATTTGAATGAGCAAATTTCCCCATACACAGTACAAGCATGCTGGCACAATCACCAAAATATTAAATTAATTTTGATATCACACAATCAGATGGCACATCGCACCACAACCCCATACACCTTCAATCGGCTTGCACAATTACTTGATTGTTCCAGCATCCTGGTGTTGTGTGTGGGCCCCATTAGGTACCGAATCCTTTAGATACCAACTGACAAGCCAGTACCGAATTCTTTAGATACCCACTGACAAGCCCTTTGGCAAAAAATTTCAAATTTCGTTAGCTTACGTAACAAGTCCTCTTTTTGAAATTTTATAGGACAATCAAAAAACTTCATAACTTCCTTTATTTCATATTTTTAAAATCTTTAAACCCAGTTGTCTTCTAAGATTTCTCAAAAATTATATAGTAAAGAATTGCGGGCATCGGGCTTTATTTGATCCTAGCCCCCATATAAGCTCCCCTTCAGAAAATTATTTTAACGCTCATAAATGCATTAATCATATCAGTAAAGCTTCGAAATTCTACATAGACAAAACTTTAATGAATGACCATATATGACCATAGCTCCCATATAAAGTACCCTTAAAAAAAATTACTCTAGCGCTTATAACTGATTTATGGGACCCAAAAACTATTTACTATATTTTATGAGAATAGGGCAAGTTTGACCCTACGCCCATCTATTTTATATAGTATAGCGACGGAATTCAACTTTAACAAGTTTTAAAGGGACCAAAATTTCTTTACTAACTACTATGAGATTCAGTCCATAATTGACGCAATTCTCTATATCATTTATTTTATTTTAAAAAGTATTCCATGATTCCTTACTCAATCGAAGATTTTACTACCTACAACTATTTTCTAGACGTTGATGTACAAAATGTTTGATATTTCTTTTTAGATGACTAATTAATGTCTTTATAATAGCAAATTGAAAGGACTTAGCACTTTTTCTTTGTAGCACGTTTGCATACCACAGCAAAAATACACGTTTAAAGTAAAAATAAGGTAATTTCTTGATTGTAACATGTGTATTTCAATATATACTACCATTCTGCATTAAAATCTTAATTTCTTTAAAAAACGGA